GTATGGGGCGGGGAGGAGTTTGGGAGGCACCTGACACACCTAACCAATCCTGCCAACCTTGCAGTTCCAGACTCCTGGCCAGTGTTGGGTTCCAGAGCCCAGGCCTAAGCCAGTCAGGGATGTCCTTCTCTGCTCACTTTAGTTCCCAGATGAGAACACAACCCAGTCTGGGTCACTGTTTTCCTTTCCATTGCTTGTTCTAATTTGAAAACAAAACCCAGCTTCAGGGGAGTTAGGAAAGGCAGGAGAGGGCCGAGTGAACAGGGTTTTCATGACAGAGGCCAGGCAGGGGGAGCCAACCAGGCAGGGCCCACCAGCAGTGGGGTGCAGGGGCCTCAGGTGAGGAGGGCCTTGTGGGGTACTGGCACTAGCCAAAACGGATGTCCGATGTTCTGGGTCTACAAGTACATATGGAGATCAGGCCAAACTCATGGCTACCATAGCAGGACTCAGGCTGAGAGCAAGGCACTCAGCCTCACAGAACTGGGCTCTCCGGCAAGGATCCAGCAAGGCAAGGCCTCACAGGAGAAGCCAAAAGCTGGCAGCAGCACCAGAATCTGCTCCAGTACTGCTTTGGAAGAGCGGCTCTCAAGGTCCCCAATCAGTGCGCTTCTGTAGCTGGATACTATTGACGGCCTGTAACTCAAATGGGCTTAAACGGTGGTCTCTACTGGTCCCTGTGATTGAGTTCCATGTGACAGCTCCATACGTAGGTTAGCGCCTAAGCCTTATATCCAGATAAAGAGAAACCATTCCATTTTGGGTCTCAAAGAGCAAGGCATCTTTTCCCAGAAGCCTTGGGCAGACTTTTTCCTCCCATCTCTGTGACCCAGACTGGGTTGTGTTCTCATCTGGGAACTAAAGTGAGCAGAGAAGGACATCCCTGACTGGCTTAGGCCTGGGCTCTGGAACCCAACACTGGCCAGGAGTCTGGAACTGCAAGGTTGGCAGGATTGGTTAGGTGTGTCAGGTGCCTCCCAAACTCCTCCCCGCCCCATGCACCCCCACTGCCAAACTGGGGTCACTGCCAGACCACATGGGTGCTCCACAGTGGAGGGGGCAGGAGTGTGCAGCAGATGAAGGAGAGACAACCCCAGTGTCCCCACTGATTCCTTTGCTTGAACACACTCCGTGGTGTTGGCAGCCAGACCAAATGCTGGGGCAGAGAATAGACCTTGCTTTCTGCATCCTCCCGGGAGCCTGGTACAGAGACACAGCCGATGTGCAATAAACGTGGAATGAATGAAGTGCCTCATTAACCAATATGATTTCAGTGGATTCACACATTACTTTATCCTATCACCACACCCATTTTACAGGGTAGGAAACTCAGCCATGCCAAGTGACTAATCAAAGTCACAAGGGAGGCACCTGGATGGCTCAGTAGATGGATCAGGCGTCCGACCCCTGATCTTAGTTCAGGTCTTGATCTCAGGGTTGTGAGGTCAAGCCCCGTGTCAGGCTCGATGCTGGGTGTGGAGCCTATTTAAAGTCACAACAAAGTGTATACCTTTGTGTTGGTGAGCCTGAGGCTCTTCCTGGCCTAACATAACAGGTATGTCCTGGGCTGGGAGAGGCAAGAGGGGATGAACAGACATCCCAGGAAGGAGCAGAAAAGGCCCAAATGAACGAAGGTGGAATCATATACAGCACTAGGCATAGGACTGTACCCTTTCTAAAACCCTTCTCATAGTCTCGTTTTACTTTGATACTGCTTCTAAAGCTGAGAATAACCGATGACAAGCCCGTATGTATCCAAGTTGGGATACATGAATTTAGTACCCTGAATTTTTTGAGAAAATTTTGGTACAAATTGCTTGAAATCAGTGTTAAAAATCTATCGAGTGATAAATTAAGAAGTACCCAGTGTCACAACATATTCCTGTGTCGAAAATGTTTATAGTGAATCTAAGCCTAACTCCTGCAGCTTACTGGAAACGAGAGAAATCCAGAATATTTGTCCCTCTACAAGACAACTGGCCTTGTCTGTCCAAAAACTCAGTGTTTCAGAAAACAAGTTCTAGGTTTAAAGAGATTAAAGGGACCAATAACAGTGCTGAGACCCTGACTGGATCTTTGTTTAAAATACATTAGTGGAGGGTGCCTGGGTGGCTCAGATGGTTAAGCGTCTGCCTTCGGCTCAGGTCATGATCCCAGGGTCCTGGGATCGAGTCCCGCATCGGGCTCTCTGCTCCTTGGGAGCCTGCTTCTCCCTCTGCCTCTCTCTCTGTGTCTCTCATGAATAAATAAATAAAATCTTAAAAAAATAAAATAAATAAAATAAAATACATTAGTGGAACAACCAGGAATATTGGAACATGGATTGAATGCGAACTTAATGTTAATTTGATTAAGTGTAATAATGGTGGAATTATAATTACGTAGAAAAAGACCACTCTTTTTAGGAGATGCATGCCGAAGCATATAGGGGTGAAGTCTTGAAGTCTACAACTTATTTTCAAATGGTTCAGCAAATTTATACACACACACACACACACACATAAAGCGTAAATGTGGCAAAATGTTACTTTGTTAGATCTAGGTAGAGGGCATATAGGAGTTTATCCTATCTTTTTTCAATGCTCCATTTTGAAAATTTTCACAAAGTTGAGGGAGATCTTTAGATTTTCCATGTAAATCATCACTTTAAAAATGCTCTGTTGGGCGAATGCGCCTGGGTGGCTCGGTCGGGTGTCTGCCTTTGGCTCAGGTCATGATCCCGGGGTCCTGGGATTGAGCTCCACATCGGGCTCCCTGCTCAGCGGGAAGCCTGCTTCTCCTCCTGCCCCTCCCCCTGCTCATGCGCACTCTCTCAAATAAATAAAATCTTTAAAAAATAAATAAAGATGCTCTGTCCTTTAGGCAAGGTTTTTCCAAATATGGTCTCTCACCATCAGTATGAGAATCACGAAAGAAAACAGAGGAATGGCCAATGAGCACGTGAAAAGAACCTCAACATCAGGCATCCAGAAAAGGCCAATGTAATTACAGACTTGTGGTATCACTGTAGGGCTCTGAAACTGATGTAATGTGTGTGTCGATGACACTGGATGAAAACAAATGCAAAGAGAAACCACACCGAGCTAGCACTTCACACCCATGAGAATGGCCACAGCGAAGAAGACTGGCAACATCGGGGCTGATGAAGATGGGGAATGGCGAGAACTCAGATTGTGTTGGTGCAGGGATTATAAAATGATCCAGCTACTTTGGGAAACAATCTGGCAGTTTCTTACGCACACATCCTTACCGTACAACCCAGTAATCCTCCTCTTGGGTACCAAGAGAAAGGAAAACCTACCTCCAAAGACTTGTATGCGAATGTTCAGAGCAGCTGTATTCATAACAGCCAAAACCTGGAGACGACTGTGAGATCACCAACCCGAGCAGAGAGAAAGTGGGGTCCACCCCTGCAGAGCAAACAGCTATGGACCCGTGCAGCAACGCGAGCGAGCCTGAGAAAGCAAGAGTACATACTATATGCCTTTTTTCTATGAAATCCTAGAACAAGTTCAACTCACCTGTAGAGACAGAACATAGATTCACCTGGGACTGGAGGTCAGGGAGGATTGGCTGCAAAGGGACATGAGGGAACTTTCTGGGGCCTGTGGGACATATTCTCTATCTCGCTTGGTGAGAGAGAGTGGTGACAAAGGCAGCTATGTTTGTTGCAAAGTACCCCCGAGATAGGTACATTTTCTTTTGGTCAAACTGTATCTCAATAAAGTTGATTAAAATCTATTTACATCTCTCCCCCCCCCACCCCCATGGGCTCTTTTAGACAGGGTTTCTCAAAATGTGGTTTCTGGATTATCTGCTTCAGCATCACCAGGAAAGCTGGTAGAAATCTGCCCTACTGAATCAGAATCTCAGGACGGGGTGGAGGAGGAGTCAAATATGCCAGACTCTGGCGGCTCTTCCACCACTGGCCAGCCATCTGAATGGACCCCAGAGGCTGCTGGACCCACCCGTGCCAGTGGCTGTCCCCACAGCTCCGTGACCCCAGCCAGTGCTGGGGGCAGCGCCATGATGACATATGGCTCTCGCACACCAGCAGCTGGTGGTGCCTGGTGGGAAAAGAGACTAGCGCAGTATCTCAGGAGGAATTCCGTGCAGACCAACCTGCTGTGTAAGCTCCCCAGCCTGTTTTGCAGAAAGGGAAAGATGCACTCTGACGGCCAGGCTGGAACCTGTGAGAAGGCCTCTCAGCGAAGGAAGTAATGACGGGCTGTAAGCAGGGGCCGCCACAGGACCCACTTCAGAAGCCAGCAATTCTCAAGCTGGGCTGTGCGTCAGAATCTTGTGGACCTTTTTAAAAAGTCTAATTCCTCTTTTAATCATAGTAGTACATAAATACGGGCTCTTAAAACAAACAAAAAACCCCATGAATATGGCTTTAGTAATACTAAAGTATGCATATTTAAAAAACAACATTGGTCCCTCTGTAATCTTATTCCTTCTGGGGACGCTGAAATTTTTTAAGTGTACAGCTTGATGAATGTTTATGTATGTGTCCACCTGACCCTGTTCAAATCAAGACCCAGACCACTTCCAGCACCGTAGAATATCCACTGGGGACCCTTCTCAGTTCATCTTTCCCCACATAACCACATTCTCACTTCTGTCACATCAGTTAGTTTGAAGGCAACCACTTTAAATTATTTTTGCCATTTCTTCTAGTATTTTTTCCATATTTTTTTTTTTTTAAGATTTTATTTATTTGAGCGGGGGAGGGGAAGGGCAGAGGAAGAGGGAGAGAGAATCTCCACAATGAGCACGGAGCCCGAGGCAGGGCTCGATCTCACGACCCGGAGATCATGACCTGAGCCAAAACCAAGAGTCGGATGCTCAGCTACTGAGCCACCCAGGCACCCCTCCAAATTTCTAAATAATATGCTTACACTGCTATTTCTTGGTCTGCCTATTTTGGACAGGAACTAGTAGCTTCTTAGGACAAGTAGATCCAAAGTTCACTCTCCTTCCCCTTCCTCACCAGGTGAAACTAAAAACTTTAGGACTTCCAGGCTGTGGCACCAACTGCCCCACCCTGGCCACTTGTGCCCCGGGTGCCCCCCACCTGTGGTCCCTGGCCTTGAGCTGGGAGCAGCCAGAGAGCCAGGCTCAGGACCTTGCTGAGTAGCGCTCTGAGGTGTGAATGGAACCTGTTACCAAGCTCTGGAGTTAAATTGTAGTTGGAGTAAGAAAGCCATGAGAAACACCAGAGTGCTTCTAAGATTTTTATTGCTTGTCAAGTGCACTCTTAGGACCCCACCCCTTTCTGCCAGCCAGCCCGTGCATTCTGTACCAACTGTTGGTGTGAATGGATCAGTAAAGGTTTCTGCTTGAGAGGAAGCTGAATGCATGGCCTGCCCCCCGAAGAGGAAGGTCGGTTGGCCCAGGACAGTTGGGTCGAGGATTTGGCACCAAGATAAGATGCAGGTACTGTCTCTGGTCACTGGGAGAGAGGTCTGGACAGGCTGCAGGGACTAAACCAGTCCTCCGGCCGCCCCCCTGTGGCCACTCCCTCTCACCTGAAGGCCCCTCCCTGCACCCCAACACAGACATCTTCAGGCTGGTGTCCCCACACTTGCCGGTGGAAGAGCTGCCTCGAATCTCCCCACAATTCTGATTTCCTTCCTCACTTGGACCCCCACACCTTGCAGCTCCCTGGTTCTCCTGCCCGGGCCGGGGGAGCCGAGGGGTCCCATCCTCTGCATCTTCCCACCTCGGGCATCAGCTGCTCAGAAGTCCCGCCAGCGCCGCACACCGCAAACCTTACCCTCTGCCAGCTCGGGGCCAGGAAGGAAACCCTCCTCTTCCCTCCTCCGGGGGCGACCACTCCTCACTTGCTGTCCTCCAGACGCTGTTGGTCAACGGTGTCGGCCACGCGCCCAGCCGCCCAGAGGCGGCATCCCAGCGGAGGCTCAGGCCCTGTGCTCAGGTGAGACCCGCCGGGCAGCACTGGGATCGCTAAGGCCTCGGGTCCTCCAAGACTGAGGGGGTGTGCAGGTGTGATTAAGCAGGTGACGGAGAGGATGGGAAATGGCCATTTTAATGAGGGAGAAACCTAGGCTCAAAAATGCTAGAGAAACCATTCCAAGGGAACCGCTTCAGAAGCTGGAAGGGCCACAGAAAGCCTCCTCGCCCTTGGACGTGACCTGCCTGAGCCGGAAGTCCAGTCCCTGGTTGGCTCAGAAAGGGCCCCCTGAGCACAGAGCAGGGAGACCCCGAAGTCTGGGTCCAGGGAAGAGGCTGCGACAGCTAGCAACCTGGCTTCCCCTGGGGGCACTGCATGCCCCCAAGTCTCAGGACGGGCGGAACCCAAGTCACTTGGTCCCCTTGGCGCAGACCCATGGTCTTGGAGAGGCACAGTCCAAAGCTACCAGCTTGCCTCCCTCCAGGCCCCCACACTTGAGCTCCGTCTGGTCCTCCTCTTCCTCCGGGAGCCTGGGGAGGGTGAGAAGAGGGGACAGAGCTCAGGATGATGGCCCCTGCTGGCCTGTGTGCCTGCTGCTGATGGACATGGCTTGATCACTACACAGGGCAGGGGAGTCTGGAAAGGGCCCTGGGGTGGGAGTCACGAGGATGCCCCATAGCTCCAGAGAACCACCCAAACCCCTCTGTGCAGCACCCCTTATCTACAGAACAGGGTGACGATCCTGCTTGGGTGAATGCTCTGGAGACCCAAACAAGGGATGGGGTGACCAGGACTAAAGGACACTAAGGCTCCAAGCCAGGTGGGGCAAGGAGGGTAGGGTGTCTCCCAAGAGGTACCCGATGCTGGTGGTGGAACAAGGGGCTGAATCTGGGAACAGACAGACGGTGGATCCAGATCAGCAGTGGGGGAGGTGCCAGCAGAGGGGAAGGCCCCAACCCCTCTTTGGCGTCTACTGTGATGTCATTCTGGTCATACTGGGGACAGAGAAGCCACCCACCCAGGCCCATGGTCACTCACAGCGGGGGTGATAGTGGGGCCCCGTCCATCCAGTGCCAGCCCTGGGGGCCTCGCCGGGCCGCCACCCAGGAGTACTTGGTGACTGGGTATCTGCTCAGGAAGTCCTGAAGGAGAAAAGCAGCTGGTCACCCTTCTTCCAACACTAGTAAGGCTCCCCTGGGGCTTCTGTGCCCCCCCCCCCTCCCCGCAGTACCCCCAGCAAGTTCCCAGCTCACCAAGAGAACGGACCCAGCTCAACCCAGCTCTCCCCAAACACCAGGAATTGGAAAGCTGTATTGGATGCTTGCTGGTCGGCAGACACTGGGGACCGGAAATGGGGGGTGCCCACCTCAGCCTCAAGGGGAGAGAGCATGTTAACACCGGTCCCCACCGGGCAGCGCAAGATGGGTACTGAGGGGACAGAGAAGAGGGGAGAAAGCACATCCAGGTAGCAAAGAGGCGAGGGCCAGGGCCGATGCGGCTGGGAGCAGGGGGCCAGTGGTGCGCTTCTCAGTTACGTCGCATCCGCTCAGCACATTATTAAGAACATTTTTAGGGGCGCCTGGGTGGCTCAGTCGTTAGGCATCTGCCTTCGGCTCAGGTCATGATCCCGGGGTCCTGGGATCGAGCCCCGCATCGGGCTCCCTGCTCGGCGGGAAGCCTGCTTCTCCCTCTCCCACTCCCCCTTGTGTTCCCTCTCTCGCTGTGTCTCTCTCTGTCAAATAAATAAAATCTTTCAAAAAAAAAAAAAAAGAACGTTTTTAAGAAAGACAAGTACAAAGACCGTGGAGCCATGAGAGGCAAGTTATAGGACATCAGGGGTTACCGTGAGTATAAACGCTGACTCCGAGTCGTGGCATGATTATGGTAATGACAAAATGTGTTGGCACAAGAATGCAGACATACAAGGAACAACAAAGAACCACAAGTACGTTGGAGAACTGTTAGAGATGACCTTTCTCTTACATATCTGTCCTTGGCGTCATCTTGTTTTTAGCAACTAATTAAAGGAAAAAATGGTATTTAAAAATGGTGTTAGCTTGGAAAAAGATGCTTCAATGTTGTAAGTCCGGGCGGGAGGCCGCAAAGCCAGCGCAGTTCCAGAAGCTAACTTGCTGCCACGTCACATGAACAGTCACATCCTTCCTACCACTCCGATGAGTGATTCCACTTTGGAGAATAAATCCAAGAACATGAAGGGGAGAAAATGAACTACCCAAAGGTAACACAGTGTTACTTAGAAAGAAAAAATGGAAACTACCCAAATGCTCAGCAATCAGGAAATAACTGGGCACATTATGGGATATCAACACGATGGAAAATTACAATGCTGCTCAAGATGCCAAGTACGTGGAAAATGTCATTATGAAATCACGCCGAGTGAAGAAAAGCAGACCGCACCAGGAAGTACACGTTGCTCACAACATCCAGAAGCCTCTATTCATGAGGGAAAATTAGGAGGAGACTGTCCTATGTGAGTTTAATGTATGCCCAGCTCTTCCCTAGAAAACTTGTCTAAGTTGAGGAAGCCAAAAGCTCCGTATTTAACCCTGGTTATTAGAAAGTAAGCACGAGAGTAATGACCGTCCCCTTGGTGCCCCTCCTAGCGGTCCTTCGGGTCTCAGTGTAAAGGTCACCTCCCGTGGGGACACCGCGTGCCCACCCTCTCCAAGGTGAGCTCCCGCCCCCGGGCCGCCGGAGCAGGACTGCAGAGCTTGGTGCACGGCTTGTCGCTTTCCGACCTGGGACGGTGACCGCGGCGAGGACGGGGAAGGCACACACACAGCCGCATGTGGGCCGGAGCCCGGGCTGGGGCCCGCCAGCGGGGCTGGGCGGGGAGCTGTGGCGAGGCGGCGGCTGGCAGGTGAGTCGGAGGGCAGAGCCGCGCTGGGCACTAGCTGCAGCGGGGGGGGGGGGGGGGGGGTGTGGGGGCGGGCGCCCCCCCCCCCGGGGGGGGGGGTGGGGGGGGGGGGGGGGGGGGGGGTTCCTGCGGCCGGCACCCCCCTTCCTGGGAGCGGGCGGCGGCCGGTTCGGGGAGGCACACCGAGGCACGGGGCTTCTCCCAGGGCCGGGACACCCCCTATTCAAACTCCGTGTATGGGACCTTAGGCAAGTACCCAAACTCACAGAGCTTCAGTATGGGCCTCTGAAACGGGGAGCCCGTCCGTACGGAGGCCCGAGGGGATCTGTACAAAGCCAAGGGCACAGAGGCCACGCTCGGCCGGGTGGTGTGCAAACGCAGCCCCCGACACAGGGGACCTCCTCTGATGTTCCCAGCACTGCCGAGGGGCCCCTGCCCTCAGTCCTGGCCCCAGGCCAGCCGGCTGTCCCTCGCTTCCACCTCCGGGCCTCCCATGACAGCGGCGTGGCCTGTCCCTGCCCACTCACTCCTTTCCACCCTTCCTTCCTCGCAGCTCCGACTCCGTTCACTTGTTCTCACCGCTAGCAGAAATGATGGTGTGGGCAAAGCATCATCCAGAGACGAAAATTCCAGAAACTCGCGAACCAGCTACGGTTCACAGACCTGCGCCGTTGTGCCGCCGCCGCGGTCCCGGGGCCTCCATGGCCTCCCGCGGGTGCTCCTCCAACTTCGCCACCAAATGTCGGGCCGCGTGGGGACGGGGGCCCGAGCGGAATGTACTTGAAATCCCACATTTGGCATCTTAAAACGGAGGTAAATTACCTGCTCTGCCCTCAGGCATTTCTTTTTGAAAAGTTGTGGTAAAATCGTATCACGTATCACGGAATTTGGCGTTTTCACCATTTTCAAGTGTCCAGGTTGGTGGCACTGGGGTCATCCACACTGCTGTGTGACCATCAAGGCCGTCCGCACCCAGAACCTTCCCATCTCCCTCGGGGGAGAACTGGTCTGCACTCACCGCCCCCCCCCCCCCACGCCACCAGCCTCACTCTGTACATTTCAAATGCTCCGATTAGTTAATTTCTTCGTGTTTTTTCCACCTTTCTGCAGTCAGCCTGTGTGGCTGACAGTCCGTGCGCGTCCTGGGCGCTCCCTGCACCCTAGGAAACATAGCTGTGCTGAAACCAAGGGCGCAGACGGCGCTTAAACTTTCTTTTTTTTTTTTTAAG